GAGTTATGGGGTGAGTGAGGTCTGTTCTCCCATGGGAAAAACTATGGGATTTAGTGGGGGGGGGGATTATTTTGGGGAGGGATCAGAGCTCTGGCTTGAGGAAGGGGGACAGCTGAACCCCCAGCAGAAGCATCAGTTTTGGGGAGAAGCTGAGGCTCCCCCTGAGCTGAGCTGTCTCATCCCAGAGAAGCCAAATCCCACAGGGAAAGGGGCTTGTGGGGCTGGGAAACATGGGAAAAAGGGGCTCCTGCTCCGGGATAACCCCAGGAGGGGCTGTCCTCCTCCACCAGCTTCAGCTGGGGCCTTTTCCTCCTTCGGGAAGGAGCCACAGTCCATCCTGGCACTGTGGAATTGCTGGAAGGCTTGGGAGGTGCTCTGTGATTCCACAGGGAGTTTAATCCTTGTGTGGCTCCAGAGTGGCTTTTCCAAGGAAAACCTGCTCCCGGTGGAGCAGGAGGAGCATTGTGGAGGTTCCTGGGCTCGGTCTGGGCGCTTCCTCCCCATGGAATCCATTGGCTCCTGCCGTGGGTGAGGAGGGTTTGTTGGGAAGCAGCCCCATGGATCAGACTGTGGAGCATTCCTGGGATCATGGGAGTGCCTCTCACAGCACCGGGAGAGAGGGATTGAGAGTTTGGGATGGAGCCTGTTGGGTGAGGAGGGATCTGGGAGGATCCTTTGGCACCGTCCACATCCCAGAAGGAAAAGGCTGCAGAGTTGAAAGCTCTTGTGGAGCTGCTCCTGGGAAATTCCTTGGCTTTGTGATCCCAAACTGGGCACCAGCACTGGGTTTGTCCTGTGGAGAAACAACTGGGAAGAGCTGCCTTGGGTGGGATTTGGGGGGACCAAACCCAGCAGAGCTTGAAATTAATGTCCAGGGACTGACATGATTATATTAGTTTCTGTTTATTCACACACACACACATATATATAATTACATCTTATAATAATTTCATTAATATATATAACATATTATACAGTCTATATTATATTATAGATAATATTACTTTTATTAATATAATATACATCATTATATTACAATATATTAGATTACCTTATTAATATATTGTTATATTATCTTATGGTATATTATTTATTTTTATATCTATTATATGCTATTAATTTTATATAGACATATATTAAAACACAGCTATATCTTATATTAATTTTATTAATATTATATATTATTTATTATAATACATTATTTATATCTATTATATTAATTTGTGTAATTTTATATAATATATACTTCTATTTATTATATTTATATTTTTATATATGTATGTATATATATATATATAAAATTATATCAATTAATGCCAGGGACTGAACATGCAGCTGCTTTGAGGTCATAGGGGTGAATATCCCAGTGCTGTGTCCAAACAGAGCTAGGCTTTTCCCAGATTTCTCCCTCAGGACCGGGCTTGACTTGTGGATTGAATGTTTTTCTGCCAAGTGGGGGTGATTTGTGTCAGGGAAAGACAACCCTAAGGAATGTGGATGAGGCAGCTCAGGACTGGAACAGGGACTGGAACAGGGACTGGAACAGGATCCCCGTGGTTTAAGCCAGAGCTCCAGGAATGCTTGGACAATGCTCTCAGGGACAGGGTGGGATTATTGGGGTGTCTGTGGGATTGTTGGGGTGTCTGGAATAGTCAGGGTGTCTGTGGGATAGTTGGGGTGTCTGTGGGACTGTTGAGGTGTCTGTGGGATGGTTGGGGTGTCTGGGATTATTGGGGTGTCTGTGGGACTCTTGGTGTGTCTGTGGGATTATTGGGGTGTCTGGGATAGTCGGTGTGTCTGTGGGATAGTTGGGGTGTTGGGATTATTGGGGTGTCTGTGGGACTGTTGGTGTGTTTGTGGGATTATTGGGGTGTCTGGGACAGTTGGTGTGTCTGTGGGACAGTTGGTGTGTCTGGGATGGTCGGGGTGTCTGTGGGACTGTTGGTGTGTCTGTGGGATTACTGGGGTGTCTGGGACAGTTGGTGTGTCTGTGGGATATTGGGGTGTCTGGGACAGTTGGTGTGTCTGTGGGACTGTTGGTGTGTCTGTGGGACTGTTGGTGTGTCTGTGGGACTGTTGGTGTGTCTGTGGGATATTGGGGTGTCTGGGACAGTTGGTGTGTCTGTGGGATTATTGGGGTGTCTGTGACAGTTGGTGTGTCTGTGGGACTGTTGGTGTGTCTGTGGGATATTGGGGTGTCTGGGACTGTTGGTGTGTCTGTGGGATTATTGGGGTGTCTGTGGGACTGTTGGTGTGTCTGTGGGATTATTGGTGTGTCTGGGATGGTCGGGGTGTCCGTGCAGTGCCGGGGTCGGACGGCTGATCCCGTGCGCCCCTTCCCCGCGGGGCCGTTCCCGGTCTCACCGCCGTGCTCCCGCAGGCTCCGCTCGGATGTGTGTGACCATGCCGGGCCGCGGGCTGCCCCCGGAGGAGCGGCTGCGGCGGCTGATCCAGGCGGGCAGCAGCGTGGAGGTGAACGAGGACATCCCCCCGCGCCGCTACTACCGCTCGGGGGTGGAGATGCTGCGCATGGCGGCGGTGTACGCGGGGGAGGGCAACGCCGAGCACGCCTTCATCCTCTACAACAAGTACATCACGTAAGGGACCGGGACGGGGGCTGCGCTGGGCTCTGGGGCTGGGCTGGGCTGGGCTGGGCTGGGCTGGGCTGGGCTGGGCTGGGC